AAATATGCAGACTAAAGGCCAATCAGCAGGTTGCAGAATAGGCTTTGCCTCCTATTTAAGGGATTACCAGCCAGTGTGAAATGAGTATTATTAAGCCCCCACCCCCAGCAACCCACTCACTGCACACACAAACACGCACACAGCCTGAACACGCTTCTGTTTAAGTCAAAGCCTTTAGGAACCAAAAATAGGTTCATAATAGTATTAACCACAGAGTTAACACGCTTTTTTTTTTTTTTCTACATGAAGACATCAGACAGTCATTCAAGGAGGTGGTCTCATTTACATTCTCACATGCACATGCATGCACGCACGCGTGCAGGCTCAGCAGCATCTGCTTGGCCCACTACCATAATCCCTGCAGATGGAGATGTGTGCAATGACATCTGCCTCGCCCACCGTGGCCCCATCATGTGTGGTTTGCCCGGGTCCAAGTCTGCTACGGGCCACACTGAGTTATCATATGTGTGTGTTTGGGAGTGTGTAGTTCACAGGTTAATCTTGGTCAGCTGGGTTAGACAAAAGCAATGGGATCGCTTAGAGCTTCAGCGATGCGCGGGTGTAAAGGTCACCGACAAGAGTGATACAGAAAGAATCTCTGGCCTGGCTTTCTGACGTGTTTTAACCATTCATTTTCCCTGACAGTCATCAACTACTAAATGTCAAGTGATTCTGATCCATCATTCGTTTTTTGAATGTCCAGAGGACCAGCCTTAACTTTTTTAGATTTTTCTACCTGGATTATTGAGCATGCATCAGGATATTGTGATCCATTCATCAATTACAGCTTTAGCAAAGAGCCAAAGTGCTCTTTTATTTGGAACACTTTCATCAATGATGTACCGGTAGACGCAACTAAAAAAGTAACTGATGCGCTGCTAGCCCAGATAATATCAACAATTAAAACGGTAGAAAATGAAAATCCATCATTTGTTTGTGGCCAACAGTACATTTCAGGGTGGTTGAGTGTTTTTTTAATATTTTCTCAATTCTCAGTATCATTCAATATCTCCTGTTTTCTCCTACTTGTATGATTATATTATTAAAGAAAGATGGCACCTTTTTAAAACCAACAGTTGTGGGGTTTTCATCTTTTTTATTGTCGTTGCTCTTCAGGTGAAAGAAGAGATGCTCCTCGAAGCCCTGACAACCAGGAAGACGGTGACTGTCGGAGAGAGGCTCATCGTGCCCTACAGACTTGCAGAGGTGACTTTTCTGTAACCACACCATCATCAGCATATCCTCAGATTAGGATGCTCACTCGTCTTTGTCCTGATCACATTGACTTTATGTCACCTTCTCTCTTCACTGAGCCTGTCCGGTCCTCTGATGCCATAACTCATGTAACCAAACCCAAAAGTCAGGCTTGTGTAAACATTTTGTTGTGAAGAGCATCAGCTTTAAAAGATTCTGTGTTTTTGTGTCCATGTTTTGCATCCTTTCTGGAGAGTTTGTTGAGGTATCCCCCAGCCCCCCACCACTTCTATCAAAGTCCCTTTGACAGGGGTCTCTCCCTCTGCAACTTCCTGTTTCCTGTGGAATCGTGCTACAGTAGTGTTCCTTAACTCTGACCCTCTAGACCAGTGGTTCCCAACCCTGGTCCTCGAGGAACACTATCCTACATGTTTAGTTGTTTCCCTGCTCTAGCACACCTGATTCAGTGATACTTCCTCAAGCCTCCACAGCTCTAGACTTGCAGTTTGTGAATTGTACCCCCTGGGTGCCTCAGCTGACCCAGATAGGTTCCACTGAAGTGAATCATAATAATATTCAGTGGATTCAAAGACTCCTTTCATGGATCTGTGTAGAAGCTGATTTATTTATTTTTTTCCTCTCTGAGGAAGGAAATGTTACAAATAGATTGCCTGTTTGCCAGCTCAACCATGAGCTAGTTTAATCCAACAGTGGTTGTTCTGATTATCCCACACTCCCATCATGTCAGTCATGTGGTCTTTTCTTAGGAATGTGAAACCTCCTCTGGAATATACAGCACAGAGGCAACAAACCATATCTCTGTTCAGTCTGGTGGTCTCTGTCTCCCTCCCCTTCACACATACATTCACTTTTTCCAAACAAGCGTGGAACAGAGATGCTCTTGGATAAACTGTCTCAGGGCCATTGTTGTCATGTCATAAAGGTTCAACCATGTCATCCAAGAGATGTTCTTATCTTAAACTGACCAAGACATAGTAAAGTCTTAAAGAGAAGATGCAGAGACCTAAAGGAGCATGATGGGAAGTACTAGCAAGTATTACTGATAGCAGTTGGACTTTATGTTAAATTTTCTATGATTACCATAATCTGAATGACTGAAAATCCACCGGTCCACTTGCATGATGGGAAGACCTCAACTCAACTTCAGCTACTCAACTGCAGATGGCTGAGGGCTTTGTGATAATTGGCACAAAATACAACAATCTTCTATTGGTGTTGTCTGTTCAGGTAGCCTGAATCTTGGCACCATGCGAGGGTGTCCCGTGTATGTATCAGTTCCAACGTTGGGCCACAGTGACATTTGTACACCCACACATGTCTAACCATTGCATGATATGACCGTACAACCTCTCACAAACCAACAACAGGACCACTATCAAACCCTGACAAGTTCTAATAATGTTCTCTCATGTATTTGCAAGGCATTCCCTGTGTTTATCCTCTGGTCTTCTTGTCATTCTATTACTTTTTCCGTCTGCTGCTCATTCCAGACATGCAGCTGCTTACAAACTGGATCATTTACATCCCCATCACTGGTCTGCATGTGGTCCAGATAACATACAAATCAGACCATTCCCCCTGTGTGCCAAACTGTTTTAATCAGCGAGTGTATTTTGCATGATTATCACTTTTGCAAAATGTATCCAGAGTAAAGGAAACCATCTTTTGTGGATAGTGTGTACTCCATCTCCATCTTCTACCACGTATTAGCCAGGTTGCAGTTGCAACAGGTCCAGGAGAAAAACCCAGACATTCCTGTCCCAGCAACACATTCTGGGGGGTCCTGAGATGTTCCCAGGCCAGAGAAGACACTCAATCTCTCCAGCATTTTCTGGGTCTTCCCTGGGGCCTTCTACCAGTGGGACATTCCCAGAAAAACTCTAAAGGGAGGTGTCCTTATCAGATGCCTGAACCACCTTAACGTTCTTCTTTTCATGTGAAGGAGCAGCATCTCTACTCCCCGTTCCCCCTAGATGAGCAGCTCCTCACCCTATCTCTAAGGCTGAGCCCGACCACCCTGCAAAGGAAGCTCATTTTGGGTGCTTGTACCAGGATTTCATTATTTCGGTCATGATCCAAACCTCATGACCATAGGTGAGAAGTAGAACTTAGACAGATCAGTAAATTGAGAATGTTTCCTTGTCATTCAACACTTTCTTCACCACCACTGTCCAAAGCAATGTCCGCATCACTGAGGACGAGTTCCCAATCCATGGATCCCTCTCCATTTCCTACCATCTTTTGTGAACAAGACACCCATATACCTAAACTCCTCCACCTGAGACAAGGACACCCCCTTTCATCCCGGATTGTTTCTACTGTTTGTGTTAATAGAATGTCAAGAAAGGCTCGACTGTACAACAAAACGATTTCCCGCAAGTACTTGTAGAACTTGAAAATGTTGGACTCATAATATATTTAAAAAAATATATAGCTTTTCAAAATGTAATAGTTAACAATTTAAAAGTGCACAGATAAAAGACTGGTCAAAGAAATAAAACTTTTTGTAAAGGACGAAAAACACATTAGGCCGAAAGTGTGTTGAATATTAAATTTGGCTCGTCTTTACAGGGTTTACCCGAATGACCTGCCTCTAAAGATCTAACAATCAAACTGTTTTTTCTGGAGAATAACAAAAAGGCTGTTCAGGAGAAATGAGAGTTGAGGCTTGGCCTGAACTGACCGAAGGCCGTGGGAGCGAGTTGAAGCCACCTGTGGAATCCATAATACACCCGTTTTTATACAAAGGAAATGTGGGAGAAAAAAAAACTGGCAATTGTTGCCGTCTCTTCTCAGAAAAGATTTCTTCCTACTTGGATAAGAAAGTTTGGGAATGTGTGTTAGGCAGCTGTCCCACCCACCCACATTTGTCTCTGGGAGATTTTGGATGACGCTTCTCAACGTCTGACCGGCAGAACCTCGACTTCTTCCTGCGTCAGCCAAGAGGATTTAACTGACTAACCTGAACAGTTTGAACGGTTTGAACAGTTTGAACGGGCTGCGGTCGAGTCAGCTGTGATACCTTTAAAAATATTTATTTTTCAAATCCATATTTTTAAGATTCTGTTCATTGTTATTGTTCTTCAGTCTTCTTCGAGGACTCCACAAAGGACTCGTACTGGTCGATGTGCCGGGAAAATGCTTTAGTGTTCAAGAGCAGCTCATCCAGGAACTTCAGCAGCTCACTTTAATCAAAGACGGACTTCACACAAGCCTCTGATTAAATACACATATTGTAATCAAAGTACTTCCCTTTTGTCCAGCAGAGTGTGTGGTAATAATGTCAACAGAAAAGCAGCCGTCAAGCTTTGTCAGCTGTTCTAAACAACTTTAAAGTTACCGAAACTGCATGTTATTTTGCATTTTATGTTCTTTGCTCCTCCAATGAGTTGCAAGAGCACTTCCCCCTAAGTCTGAATTACATTAGTCGACAGCATAGCCATTATAGCCATTTTTTTGTGTTTCCTAAAGTGGATTAGCTGTACCCACCATTTTGAACCACATTGACACCAGAGGGTTATCAGTTGTAGACTTACCAGTACACCTACTGGTTACATCCTTGGAGTGTCATTACAATCCACCCAGTGGTTCATGAGATGTTTTGCTAACAGACAATTATTTGATGGCCTGCCTTTCATCTTTCGGTGATAATGATACGTTTATTACTCATCAAAAACTATAAAACTGGTGAAGTTACACGTAACACTGTTATCTCATAGAAGTATTTGTTTATTTATTTTTGTGTTCTCCACTGTAACAGGACAAAGATGCAGTAGAGTCATTGTTACTTGTGTCTGTAGATCTCAGTTTTCAGCCATTCTTCAACACACTTTGCTGTACGAAAGTGACAGTTTTCATCTCCGGTCCATTACACTGTTGCACTTGGTACAAAGTAGTTTTCCATCACTAACGACAAAGGACGACAAACATAATGTTACTAACACTGATATAGTTTACCTCTATGTTAGATTTATTGTTCTGGATAAAGTTTTACAAGGCAATAGCTTATGCTAAACATTAGCTTGCTAACTTGAGAGGCACGTAGCTAATGACAAGCGAGTTGAAGGATTGAAGAGAATTTATTATTGCTGATTTGTTTTACAGGTCAGTTAAAAATAAACTTACAATGCTACACAGCACTACACAATATTGATCCCAGTTTCATCTGTGCTGAAAGTGAAACTTAAGTGAGCGGCCATGACTTGAAGGTAGTCTTCATGCGCCCTCTGCTGGAAACGTTGTACAATTACAGCTGTTTCCCATTATCTTAGGGATAAAAATTAGCAGCGCTTAAATCGGCGCATAATGGGACAATTATCATCAATACTAATAGCTCCTCAAACGTCTATATCGACCTAAATAATCGGCCCTACCGACATATCGTACAGGCTCTACTACAAAATACTACAACTCACCAAAATACACCAAAATATAACTCCGCCTGGTTTTTAGAACTTAAAGGGCATTTAAAAAAGGCTAAGCCTCTTAAGTTTTACCAAGTTCCTGAGTGCCTCTGTGTTTACAGTAATTATGTTATTAAACTTACGTAAAGGTGGAAATGCCGCAGACTCTGAAATGCGCCGCCGGCAGATTGTCATCCGCCCGTTCACTTCATTCAGTAACACACACACACACACACTTTGCACATGTGTGGCAAATATGATTTTAAACTCTGCTATGTATTTAAAAGCATGGGTGACTCACATTTAATAAATTCCCCATTTCGCTGCATCTAGACGTCATTTAATAACGCGTAGACGAGAACCCCAAATCGATATTTGCATCGGTTTTACTTATTTAAACAAAGGCCTGGCTGGGGAGAAGTGTCGTGTACGCTCAGGTCCATGCTTTTCGGGATGAATGAACGGAGCACAGAAACATGTGCACGGTTTAATCAATCTAAATCTGTGCACATGCACTTTTCTCATTTTGTCCCTAAGCCAACTTTCAGTATGAAAACTCTTTGATACATGAGGCCCCAGGTGAAGTGTGAAGTCATGCTGGAGTTTCTTATAATTATTTTTTATTGTTGGCCCTCAAGTGAAACGTTAAAAAACCTGTTTTCAGCCAAGTTACTTCCTTGTTGCCTCTGTATTAAATAATTAAATTACAAGACTAAGCTCATGCTCACTGAGCATGTCACATCTAATTAGCCAACTCTGAGATCCTGCCAAGACGTTTAAAACGTAATTCTTTTTAAAGTTGTAAATTATTCACAGTAACCTTGCGTAACTGTGTTGATGCAGAGACGTCAGAGCCAGCGAACTAAAAATATCGAGAGTCATCAATAATGAACGAGTGAAGAGGGAGCGCTTTTAAAAGTGCAGCTTTACTTCGTCGTGACAGTTGGTCGCTTGTGACCTCAGCAGGCGGATTTTCTCGAGTCATTCAAAGATGGTGGGCTTCAGAGGGAGCAGCAACAGCCTGTTTGTTTCAGAGGTGGACATTTTCAGCAAGTTCATTTAAATTTTCGAGGACACACAGACAAGTAAAAATAACGTTGCTTTTCACCAGGGTCGATTTCTAGAACATGACCTTTAATTTAACCAGTAAGAATATGATGAACTTATGACAGAAAATGGAGGATTTACCTGCAGTTACCTTCGTACAGACGAACATTTGGTACTTCCTGTTTATCACTGTTGTATTCAGCTGCTCATGGGATCAGCCGTCGGCCTTTAACCATCGTTTTTATTTTTCCAGACTCTGTTTAGGTTGTGGAATATTAAATAAATAAATAAAATAATAATAAACTGTATTCACCCTCAAAGAAAATGGCAGTGCCGTATTATGCTAACAAACACACACAGACCCAGGCAGTTACATTATCGCCCACCTTTCACATCACAGTGGGCAATTTTAACAAGTTCTGCCTTTATTTATAGATACATGTGAGCATAGGCGTCGCAACATTATATGAAAAGGGGACACACCCCCTCACATTAAAATAAATCATTCAGACCCCCCCACACACATTTGCCATAAAATAGTAATTCACTCAGCGCTTTTTCTATTTTTTTGTGAATAAGTCCATTCCACTTGATTAATAGGAGAACACTCAAATCGTTAAAAGTCCACTCCAGGTTTTCCTGGTTACCAACAACAACTCCACACCACTGTGTTTCCCCGAGGTCATTTTCCTTGGCAAGGCACTCACGAGGGGAGGAGGGGGACACCGCTTAGCGCTACGTTAGTGCCAACAGTTGTTGACCAGGGTGGGGGGGTAGGATGCATGAGATAAGCAGAGCATGCTCTGTTCACACAAGGAGAGCTGTTGGTCAGGCCACTTCTTGTTGCTCTCAAATAGTTATTGAATCAATTGTTTACGCATGTAGGTAAACGTAGATGTTTAACAACCTGTTAAAATACACCAGAATGCAGGAAACTTTATTCAAAATTTAATTTTATGGGGGATGACCCCCCCCACCACCACCACCACCACCAGTGTGTCCCCCCCAACATTACAAATGCTTCTGACGCCCATGCATGTGAGGAGAAAGGTGGATTTCAGCAGCTGGAAACAAATGATTGATTCTTAATTAAATGGTATAATTTATTTTTTGTTAACGACCAACAGTTCTTTTTAAAGCTTTCTTTGTTTCATCCAAACATTTTGTTACACGAAGCCTAACGTTCATATTCCATACGAACCTTTAAAATTTGTGGAGCACATTTCACCAGACGTAAAAATACGACTGATAAGATTTAAAGCAGAATTAATGAAACGCATTCACAGTATTGGCTCTTTTGCAAGTTGCAGAGTCAGATGTTTACTTTTCATCAGGACTAAAGCAGCGTGTTTGTTTGTGTTTGTTTGTGTTTGTTTGTGTTTGTTTGTGTTTGCAGGCGGGGACCGTGAGGGACTCGATGGCCAAGTCTCTGTACAGTGCTTTGTTTGACTGGATCGTGTTCAGGACAAACCACGCTCTGCTCAACAACAAGGACCTGGAGGACAGTTCAAAGGTAAGCTCAAGAGCAAACGCAACAAATCATTTTATTTAAACCTTCATTTTACCAGGAAAGAAATCCACTGAGATTATTAATCTCTTGTACAAGGATGTCCTGGCAAATATGAAGACATCATGTGCACATAAAGATGTCTTTAAAGAATTGTTCTTCTTTTGTTTTCAGCCAAATCAAAGATTTAGATTCTCTGAAAGTGAAATGGTTTAAATCAAATATGAAGACATTATAACATGAATAAAAACACAATAAGCACAGAAACAAACTCTCCAGAGATTTATTAACCTGTTAGATCTGGCAGATTGTGACAACTTGTCATCACGTGATTCATTCATGTCCGTACTGCAGACTTTTAAAACCTTCTTTCAGTCCAGACCTTTAATACAGACTTTGAGAGTTATTAAAGCTGATGTAGGGATCATGAGGGTTCATACCTCACTATAACTGTGCAACACTCTGCTAACTGTTAGCACATTCGCATCATTCATGCATGTAACGTTCACCATCACAAAACCAGCAACAACATCGATGGAGGACTCCATGATTGTGGCACACAGCTGCGTGTCGAACAACAGATCGGTCTTTGCTCTGCGCATGCTCAAAAACAAACAAGTCATGGCAGACACACAGGGGATTGTTGCTAACACCACTTTTATCAGTGTGGGTGCTGGACGAGTGTTCAATCCACCATGTTTATGGAATATATCAACCAATCACATCCCCTTACATCGCTCAAGAGTTCCTGCTGAGCCAAGAAGGGGCTTAGTCTAAAACCGAGTCTACAAAAAACCCAATAAACACAAAAGAAGTAAACTCGTTCAGTGTTACGAGACTTGAGGTAAAACAAATGTTCAAATTAACAGAAGCAGTGGTCAAATTAAATTTGTCCTTCATAACTTTATTGATTATTAAAACGCTGTTTACAGATTTATTTATTTTTTTTACTAAAATCCAAAGCTGAAAGTCGATGTAACTTTAAAAAAAAAATGGACAAATGTGTTTTTTTTATTTAATATTTTAGGGAAAACAAATTTATTTCCAAAACAATGTAGAGTGTACACAAGTCCGTGGCACAGGATTCACATCTGGAGTAAACGATGTGGTTCGCTACTCGTTTCTTAAATTCACAAACCAGTCTGCTCGGCGTCCACCAGTTGACTTACAGACCTGACTGAAGCAGAGCGTTTGTAAACCATCAATGCTCCAGTCTTCCACTCTTAAAATAAACTTTATACGGTTAATATAAAGTCTAAATATGTTGATGAGAGAAAACTCACTACATCCATGTTTTACAGTAAATCTGCATCTTCCATCCTTCTCTGGTGGTAATCTGGTCTTTCATCATTCTCTCTCTTGTGTGTAGGATGTGTGTCAGAGTGACAGCTTGCAAGTTGCACCCAACGGGCACATCTAACACATGTGTACACATGTGTGTGTGTGCATGTGTGTGTATTTGTTACCTTGTAAGGCCCATTTTTCTAGACTACATTGTGAGGACCAACTGCTCATTATGGGGCCCAAAGCCCAGACCCCAGAAGAAGAAGTGCTGTTGGTGGATTAGGTTTAGGGTTAGGTGTGTACTGGTAATGGTTAGGTTTAAGGTGAGGTGTGTACTGGTAATGGTTAGGTTTAGGGTTAGGCGTGTACTGGTAATGGTTAGGTTTAGGGTTAGGTGTGTACTGGTAATGGTTAGGTTTAGGGTTAGGTGTGTACTGGTAATGGTTAGGTTTAGGGTT